CTTGCTGCCCAGGTGGGTCTCGAACCCGCGGGCTCAGACAATCCACTCACCTCAGGCTCCCAAAGGCGCGGGATTACAGGCTGAGCCACCGAGCCCGGCTGTGTCAAACTTTTTATTCTTTGTCGATTGGTTAGGTGAAAGAGTAAGTCATTTCAGTGGTTTTTAATCTGAAGTCCTCTTATGTTTGAACCATTTCCTTATATCTGCATAACCTTCTTAGGAAACCTGCTGCACAGAATCCTGTGGTCATTTTCTTTTTTCTTTTGAGTCAGAGTCTCACTCTGTTGCCCAGGCTGGAGTGCAGTGGCATGCTCACGGCCACTGCAGCCTAGACCTGCTGGCCTCAGGTGATCTTTCCACCTCAGCTTTCCAAGTGGCTGGAACTACTTGGAAGTGCCACCATGCCTGGCTTATTTTTTGGTTTGTTGTAGAGATGATGTCTTGCCAAGTTGTCCAGGCTGGCCTCAAACCCGTGGGCTCAGGCAGTCCTCTCACCTTGGCCTCCCAAAGTGCTGGGATTATAGGCGTGAGCCACCCCACCCAGCCTGTGGTCATTTTCTATAGGAGAGCTGGTACTGTGTTTAGCTTTTTGTTATTTTACTCTGTATCATTAATTACTCTTATTAGGATTATCCCTTGTGATAGGAGTTGCAAGCATGTTCCCCCCACTTCCCCCAATTTATGGCTTTTTTCTTCTTTACCTATGCAGTTTTCCTCTGCAGGAAACTTCCCCCCTGCAGTAGCTGATTCCTCTAATATCTTCTGGGTTTTGCGTCGTACTTAGAAAAGCCTTCTGGTCCCCAAGACTCTGAAAAAGTTTCCCCAAGTTTTTTCCTACGCCTTTATCGTTTCCTTTTTTATGCTTGGAACTTTAATATGTCTGGAATCCGTCCCGGGACAGAGTGCCAGTACTTGATCCCATTCGATCCCACTCGCCAAGGACAATCGCCACCTTTACCGTGTACTGGGTTCCCGTAAGTAAAAGCAGATTTTTCATTTTCCCACAAGAGCGTGTTTGTCCCTCACTCGTGGCAGCTTGAAGGTGTGAGAGACGTGGAGGCCGGGCCGGGGATCTGGCTGGGTGCAGCTGGGTCCAGGGCCGGCAGGACAAGGCGCGGGAGGCTGCGGGATGTGGGATCCCAGAGAGTCCCCCGCAGCCTCCCCACGGAGCGCTCAGCCCGGAGCTGCGCGCACAGCTCAGTGACCAGCCCGCAGAAGCCCGGACCCCGGGGAGGATTTCGAGGCTCCCTGCGACCCCTTCCTTCAGCCTCGCTTCTCCCGCCCGGTTCCATTTCCACCCCGCGCGCTGCTCTCGGTCCCGCATGACTCTTCCGTCTCTGCGTCCCCCAGACCCC